ATCATTGAAAATGTTTGGTATTTCAAAAATAAATTAAAAAAATGTTTCTTCTTTTTTCATACACTTTTCATTATTGTTATTGTGTGATATTCAAGTGATGTTTGAATTTTCTAGAATACTTGAATGGCCCCAGAGAAATGTGTTATTTGAATCAATCAATAAAAACCGTTTCGCATTAAATGGACTCAATGCAATTTTGTTTTGTTTTGACTGAATTTTGAGTATAAATTATGAGATTTTGACTGAATTATCCTTTGAACTATAGATTTTCGAGTTCGTTTGAATAAACAATTTAAATAGTCCTGAAAAGTAATTTTATGTTTTACAACAGTATATTTAATACGAATTGAGGGGGTTATATTTTTAGGAGTGATTAATTTTTGGGGAAGAAAGTTTTTGGCTTTCTACTACTCCATCTTGATAAAAAAAAGGATGAGGGAATCTTCCAAATAAAGGAAGGAAGTAATCAATTTGAAAATAAGCAACTCTATACATGGATGTGTAGATCATGCAAAGAAGTAAATTTCGGACACAAACTGAAAGTCCTCCTGAAACAGCTACTTTCATATAATTATTGAATTAGACGAAAGAAAAAATCTTTCGAAACAATTACTTCTATGTGAACACTGAATTATACAGAAGATACTTTTCTCTACTCAGTTTGTATTTCAAACATTCGTTGTGGGGTAAAAATCAGATATCATTCACATGAGTTCTACTTTAAATGAATGGTAACAAATTGCACTTACATGGAACACTGTCGTCCTCACTGGTATACATCGATGTTTAGCCTCAAGACACTTGCCCCAAGGAAGATTCCCTCATCCTTTTTTTTGTATCAAGATGGACTAGTAGAAAGCCAAAAACTTTCTTCCCCAAAAATATATTTGATACCTTTAGCCTTTTTAGTACAGTTTCCACCATCAACCAAAAAAGAATACATTTTCGACCTAAGACCAACAAAGTCAGTCATTATATGACCATCATTTACATATTTCTGGGGCTAACGGTAAATATCTGTGCAAATCACATAAATGTTCTGGATATGATAAGTCTACTTCTAAAATATAACTTTCAGATGATTCATCTGATATTTTGGTTACGTCAAAATCATTAAAATTCTTTATCCACTAAAATCCTTCCTAAGGAAGGTACTGACACATTGAATGACCATACAGATTATTAACATCATAATACATGATGTACTTAGACTTTTCTGTAAAATCATATTCAGCCATATACTTAATATCAGCTTTTGAATAACGATCAGATATCTGTGGGAGCCCCCCACTAATACCTTTCTCAAAAAATAATAAAATGTCAATATCTTGTATTGTTTTTAGTTAACATTTCGTATATTTCATCATACAACTCCAAGTATAACCAGGTGATGTATAAAAATGTGCAGGATTCAAATTATACGTCATATGACATTTATCTGGAATATTTTAGAAAACTACACTCAATAACATGAATATCAGTCTTCATGAAAAAATCGCTGTACTCCCCCAATTTTTTTATTTCGAATAAATTCCAAACATGTGCATGAATATTACTGGAGCTTTATCCCAACACTAACTCGCAATTTTAACACCTCGACACGTGTTTCGATCACCAAGTGATCATCTTCAAGAGGAAGATTAACTCTGATTAATCTCCTGAAAGGGTGCATCCATTTGTGAAATAATAAAATATTTGGACATAAGTCATGAAATGATTGGAAGTTTACTTACATTCGTCTGAACACCACACTTTGCTGAAAATTTTACAACTTTCTTCGACAACAAATTCTGTGATAATGAATTGGAGTCATCCAAATCTACATATTTGTATTGAGAATTTTGAGCACGAATATTCTCCAATTATCAATTATTTACACATTTAATCATTCATATCATAAAAAATCCCATGTTGCAAAGACATAATTGATATATCAAACCACACTTCCTTCAACTTCATCTTATCATAGGAAACTTTTTGTGTTACAAAACTCACAAAATTATTATATTTGGTTTCATATCCGTTTGATAATTCTTATTAAAACAGAATTTCCTTTTCACTGTATTGTTATCAAATCACAATGATGTTTATGAATTTTCCAATTCGCTCCTCACCACTTTCTGAAATGAACAACCAACGAATTATTATTTCCTGTATAATGATTAAATTGTATGTCTGTGATATTTCATAATTGATAACAATATGATAACGAGTTGCATTTTGTCTCATAATTCCAAATATTCATTCTCGATAAAAATGAAATAAATTTCAATTTTTACTCTAACGATTCATATAGTTTTTGACTGAATATTCTTATGTGGGTACTCATCAACTTTTATATTACATGTAGAATCAAATTTTCTCTTAACAAGTTTAAATATGATTTTCACAATTGAAATCAGTACACATGCTAATATTACACATGCCATTGCAAAAACATTATTTATTTCACTTTTCATATTCTACTTAACGTTGCTTATATTGAGCATGTTTGTTTTTTATATATACACCGATTATGTTCAATAACAATCCCAGCTTGAATACGTTTTAACGGATTTGTTGTTACTGTGGGTAGTTGTCTCAAGGTTTAGTTCAAAACACTGGCTCCTTGCTGTTGATTTACTCTTTCAGGAATAAACTTTCCATGGTTCCACGATAGACGAAGGTTATCCAGTTTTTTTGTAACTCCACTTTTGTCCTCAAAAAAAATGTCTTTTATAAATATGAACAATTTCAATTCAAATTCTTCTGATTTACGTTCATACTCTTTCAAAGACATTTCGATTGGTACTATGAGTAAGTCGCTAATCAAAAGTATATCATACATCATGAATATCATCGATATGCCCCCCTTCTTCCTTAAACATAACTCTCAATACAATGTTCATATAAATTGCCTAATAATATACTGACAAAATGAAACGCATGCTACGTATCTACGATTTTTATATTCCTGTTCCCCAGTAGAAATTGTGAGGTTAGAGTACCCGTAACCCCTCCTATCTTCATTAATAACAAAGTCAGCCTCCTATGTCTTTTACACTTCTCAAAATCCTTAAATATGTTTCTTGACGTCGAGACGAATCCATTGATATCGAAATTATCGAAATCGGACCACCGGAAGTAAAAACCGAAAATTACCATTTTATTGTAGATTTCGTATGACGCCATGTTTATTCTCAAATGATGTATTTTGACGCACCCTGTATAGCATTTAATTAATCTGTGTTGAAACAACACCCTGTATACTTATTGATTATTGTTCCCATATCATTCAAAGCGCGCTCGACTCGTTATCTCTCAAACAGCGATAACGCCACCGTTAACCGAGCCGTACACATGAATAAATACTGATATGGCACTTCCGCTCCAGCTCTATTATAATTTCTCTCTCAATACCGAAATATGTTTTATTATTGAACTTCAAATCAATGATCATGTAAAGGGCCAATTCAAGGACCAATTCGAGGACCAAATCAAGGACCAAATCGAAGACTTAGTTACACGTCACAGCTCACTCCTAAACCTAATTTTTATGCCGCGGGGTCTCTCTTTTTGGCTTCACCACACTATCGAACTGACCATCGACAGTTTACTTCAGCATAGGAATACTCGAAATGAAATACAAACCGAAAGAATTTATCACCACCTTGGAGGAACATTGCATCGAAAACACGTACTTCATCTAAAACGACCAACGATACGAAAAAATTGAGGTGGCACCACTATGACCCATTGTTGCCAATTTCTTCATGGAAGAAATCGAAACCGAAGCAGTAGCAACGTCACACTTGAAACCTAAACTCTGGCTGACATATGTCGATGACATTTTTGTGATTTTGTCACATGGACACCAGGAACTTTCAAGGTTTTTCAATCACTTGAATGAAATCCAGCCACAGATCAAATTGACGAGAAAAGTTAGCAAAAACACTGATTACACGTTCAAGGAGGCAGTTAACGACCACAGAAAACAAGAGTTGAATACCATCGAGACAACTCTACGAATGAACAACTACTCCGAGGAGATTATAAGCGACTTTCAAGACCTCACGGAAATATCAGAAAACCCAAGATACACTGGTCATAACAACCACACTATCATGTATTGAAGGAACAACAGAGAAAATCAGCAGAATTCTCCGCCAACACAACATAGAATCATTCGTACAAGAACGGACAATAAGGTGCATGCTTCATAATCCAAAGGATCAGATACCACTGGAATCCCAAGACTGTGACACAATACTTACATCGGCCACACCAACAGGTGATTAAATAAACGCAAGGATGCACATAATATATCAGTGAAGGGAAAAGTCACCACGTCTTCTCTCTTCCAATACGTATTGGCGACAACACACATAATCAATTTTGAGAACACAAAAACACTAGCAAGCAATGAAAACTTCTACCTCCGAACAATCAGAGAGGCTATCGGAATTGAAAAACGACCTAGTAGTATGAACCAGAGGGATGACGCGCAAAGTATACCAGCAACATGGTCAACAAAACCAAACAGACCGCAAAAGCAAAACTTCACGTGATAATTCAGGTATAATGACAAAGTAGTTGATATGTATGAATATATGAAGATCTTCGGATCTATGGGGCCATATCAACTCTCTACACCCTGACCTAAAATTCACAATGGAAGTCAAAAATTATAACTCACTTCCATTCCTGGACGTTCTCATCACAAAGTCCAAAAAATCTTTCTCACACACTGTTTATGAAGTTTACGGTTACCTAAAAAATATAAATCCTCGTGAAAACTACTATTTCTTCATTACTAATATAGTGATATAGTTTAGCCTACTAATTCGGGAAAATGTTAGTTGATGTTTATATAATTCATCTAAATTATGATAGAGTCCGTCAGAATATAGAACTTCCATTGTTTCTATACAGGGAGTGCGTAGTTTCTTCATTATGTCATGAATTCTTGGGATTTTCATTCCTAATTTGAAACAATGATTTTTCTGTTTATGATTTGGATTTCGTTTTCAGGCTTATTAAGCATACTGAGAAGCTACTGGAAGAGAAGGAGGAAAAATTGTGTGTGGAAGTACTGAGAACTTTGAGAGAAATGATGGCAATAGACTGCGAATATGGAGAAAAGGTAAAATATTTCTTATAAATAGCGGTTAAATATCGATATCTGGGCTGTTTTTAATTTCTCAAATAATTTTTTAATGCTTATTGTGAATCTGAGGTAGAATTTTTTTACATAAATCAGATTTCTTCACTTTTATAATGATGGAATCAATGAAACATGACAATTTACAATGTACAGGTTTTTGATGCCAGGTTTTGAAAATTTCACTCAGCATTTCTTTAAAGAACAACAATAAACATGACGTATGACTGTAAGAGAGATGTAGAACGCTTCAAGCGCCGACTTGGAGCTGATCCGTTTCAAAGATAAGAAATATGTAACGGGTATCCTAAAAACGCAACACGATTCAATATACCAGGTGTCTCAAACATGATAGATGTACCACCAATTCAACGAGACAGGCCAACCAGCCATTCAGAGCACACCAAGTTGTCACTGGGTGGGGAAACTAGGCGGGTCGTTATGAATATGATGCAATCAAAAGGTTGTATGGCGTAAAGGGGAGGCTAGTCCTTTTGAGTATGATAGAATCTGTATTACCGGCTCGAAGGTACAAATTATCGACACATTTAAAAGAGATTTCCCCAATTGTGATCAGAAACGAATGTAGGCCAGGCGTACTATGTTGAAAAATAGTGATTTTTCAGAAAAATTCCTTACAGGGTAAACTCAACGGGAATGGGTTGGGAAGGTAGTCAGTAATATTGGGGCAAAAATTCAACAGCTGAATGTTTGCAGGGGCGGAGGGGTGGATGTGAAAATGGATGAAAAACGGTTTTTCGCGGTTTGCGGACAAAATAATTGTTTTAGAGAAAAAAGTTAAATGAGAAAGTTGTAGATAATGAAAAAATCTATAACTTTTCTATCCATACTTTTTTCACATAACCTCAAAATTTTCGAGTAAAACGCAAAAAAACCACTTTTTTGGTTTTTTATTTTTCATTTGACGAAAAAAAGGCGTATCACTATGAACATTTAGGCAATTGTACTATTTTTTATCACAAATAAGTAGCAATTTTTTTTTTTGCGATAAGTTAATTAGTTTCTGAGAAAAATTCTCGTTTTTCGAAAAAAAAAAATTTTTTTCAAGTTAGTCAAAAAGGTTTTTTTTGGCCTAGACAACTTTCACACCGCTAATTTTTTTCGTAATTACATCAGCTTTCAGATGAAAAAATAAAAATATATTACTTTAAGCAAAAAAATAATCGTTTAAAATGCAAAAAACTGAAAAATTGTGCTTGTTAATGTATTACGGCACTGAAACTCACGGAGGGTAATACGACTGTCGAAGTTGTTGGTCAGGACATCGACCTTTTGGTCTTGCTGAACCAGTTCAATGTTGATTTTTCGAATGTTTACTTGCATAAACCTGGTTCAGGGAAAGTTAAGAGATGCGTATTACTCTTCCGATAGTTTTAGTCAGCATTCATATCGTAAATATATCGCTTTTTTTCACTGTTTCGTTGGTTGTGATACAACCTCCGGTTTCACTGGAAAAGGTAAAAGAACTGCGATAAAGTCTTTGTTAGCAATAACAAATTTTATGGATTTGGCTGATATTTTTTATAATGTAAATGCTGATAAAGATTTGTTGATAAAAAATGGCTGCAAATTGATTGCAGCAATG